CAGCAGGAACCAGATTCGAACATAAGAACTCTAGCTCTTCCCTCTGCCAAACATACAGACACACCTTGGCAAGGAAGAGCTGAGATGAGAGGGGAGCTCCCTGCTGGTGAGCACATTGATGTACTGGGAAGGGTGATGTGCCCCAACTGCACAGGGAGAGGGCTCAGAGGCTCTGCACTCTTTTCCAGACTTGACCCTATGTATGTCCTTTATAATAAAACCACAGTCATTAAGTACAGTGCATTCTCAAGTTCTGTTTTTCCAGCAAATTAACAAACCTGAGGTGATCATAGGACTCCCTGAATTTATTTAGCCAGTCGGTCAGAAGAGCAAACGGCCTATGGGTCCCAACTGTGTCTGACATCTAAGTGAGGGCAATACTGTGGCAGCTTCTAGGCCTTGACATGCAGAATCTGCTGTGAACTCCAGGCATTAACATCAGCAGTGAACTACAATGCACTCAGCTGAGGTGGAAACAAAATGAAACCCCACTCCAAACTCTAGCTATGACCACGGTATTCTCAGTAAGACAGAGGTCCTCTCCTCTGTGTCCCACTGGACCCTGCCTGACTTCTACCCTAGTGCCTCTAATGTGCTTTGGGATTCATTTGTTTACATGATGTCTCTGCTACAAGACTGAGGCTATTTTTGAGGGAGAACAGGGGGGAAATTCAGGTCTCTGGGAACTGAAGGTTTTGTAATGTGTGTGTGTATATGTATATGGGAAGAGGGAAAGATAAGGGTCTTTACATACAAATATTTTACAAAATCACATGACCATGTGCGCACATGGCTAGAGGCCTTCCTCACGCCTTGGAAGAGGCCAGGAGTGTGGTGAGGGACCCTAAAGCTTGAGCATCATTTGCGTCACAGCAAATCCAGTCTGGCCAGGAGCCCATCTAGTTCCACTCTGGCTCACAGTGGACATTCACAGTCCATTTAGCAATGAATGAAAGATTAAGTGGAGCAGCCACAAACTGCTTCGAGGAAGAGTATGGCATTTCTTAACCTTACATTTAAAAGATGATTAGATTCTTCTTACGTCAATGACAAGGGCTCTTTTACCCCCTCTGAGAACTGACCTAGCTTACTATTTTTGCCTGTGTCCCTGAAGTGGGACTTGGAGGGATTTACAGGCTGTGATTAGGAGGTCTAAACACACAGAAGCTAGGGAATCTGGTCATCTGCTATTTGCAACCAGATTAGAAAAATCCCCTAAGGAACTGTGTTTTCATTTCAATGTTAAATCACAATAGAACCAAATAAAAAGAACTAAAATGCAAATGTAGAGCCCATTTTAAGTATAAGGGGATATAAGGTCTTTGTCTCAGAGCCAAAAGCTTTCTCTCTGAGGAGACTCTGAGTCATTAGGCTGCCCTGGCATTTGCTGAGGCTTACAACACAATGGTTAGAGGCTATTCCCAGTCACCTAGCATGAAACAACGCTGGGTCACAATGACTTCTAGAACCCTGACTAGCTCTCAGATTCACTCCTTTCTCTTCTCACTGCTGTCCCTTCCTGCACAGACCCCTGAAGCAGGTCTCAGACAGGCCAGGGAGAACTAGACACAGAGTCACATGGTACAGAACCTGCTGCAACAGCCACCAATGCACCGGTGTGTCAGTCAAACTTCTCCCAGCCATCATCTATCCCTTAGATCCTAGGACTCAGGAGCTTCCACCATCTTGGTATCTTCCCACACTCTTGGCATCATATCTAGCCTATTTTGTACAAAATAAGAACCCCAAATGTTCACCTCAGGTAGCTTGAAGAATGGTATCAGAGAAGTTATTTGGATCATCAGCATGGCCTCTTTCTCCAGCTCTGGGATAAAATTCCACTGCCAAGGGGATAGATAAATGTAAAAGGTCTCTCTCTTCAAATCGGGTAATGGATGCTACTCACAGGAGCTGAGAACTGGAATGTTCAGTAACAGGCCCTGAAGTTTCCAGTGGTGGACGGATCATCCTGGAATATGCAATTAGGATCTGGAAATCATGCAGAGATAAACTTGAGAAGGGCATGCAGTAAAATAGAGATTGTGTTCAAGATAGAGGACCATCTCCCCAGGGAAACAAGAGCCCATTTTCTGCTACAGCACTAGAACTCGGTATTAAACAACTAAAATGGTGTGGACTAAATGGCTAAGCCCCAGAAGGAAACAAGCTTCTGTCCATGCCCACATCTCCCTTCCATGGTTCTGAACCTCCTCCAGGCAGGGCTGATGAAATGGTCATTTGTACAGGGGTCACAGGGAGTTCAGAGCAGCCTGAGGTTCTCCAACTCTAGGCAATAAGAGCTGGATATGTTTCAATTAGGCTCACAAGACTATGAAGTCATCCTGGATCTCAATCAGCTGATTAAAAATAATCACATTCCATTTGCAGAGAACTTGAGTATTTTGTGGGTAGAGAAAAATATTTTTTATATTATTGCCTCATTTTAACTATTCAGCAGATGGCAAAGGAAACTCATGTTTTTCCAACACCTACCGTGGTCTAGGTGCTGGGCTGGCTGCTTTTCCTATTTTACTTCCTCTGATTCTGACATCAAGTCTGGAAGGCAGAAAGATTTTTCCCTTTTAGAGATGAGGAGACTCCAGCTTAAGGTGGCAGGAGTTTATGGTCACCTATTTAATTCTTTGCAACTGGTATAGAGTCCTGTTCTAATCCTGGTCAGTTCAAGGTCAAATCCCATACAGTTAAGGTCTCAGGCCCACTCCCCTCTCTCAGGGCTGCCAGTGTTCATCTCCCTCAGAATCTGACTTTCCTTGGAATGCTCATGATATTCAGGCAGGGCCAGCAGCCCAGCCAGAGAGGAGCAGAGGCAGATGACGGGGGAACATGATGCTCGTCACAGGGCTGGTTCAGCTTGACCAAGTCCACATGGTTTTCCATAATCAAAAGACCCTTGGGCTGTCTACCATGCTGGTTGACATCCATCAGTTCTGCAGAAGACTGCGGGGCTCTCATTTTGCACAGGGCAATGTGCTAATATCAATGCATTCATTTCCTGCTATATATATTTTTTCATCTATCTTGCATTTTTTTGAGATAGTTCCCTGAAGGAGATGGACAAGAGTGTTCGTGTATTCTACATACAACCCCTCCTTGGGGTTCAGTTTTCCACCCCTGCACTGTTCATACTGTTCCTTCTCTTGGAATATCTGTCCAGGCATCTTCTTTCCAACTCCTCATAGTCTTATTCTTTAAGGCCCAGGATAATGCTTTTACTCCAAAGCCTGAGCTGACCCCTTCAACTGGAGTAGCCTCTGCTCTCTGACCTTTGGCATCAGCCTCCATAGCAGCACTTACTATCCATTGTCTGTCCTTGGTTTACTTCTGGAAACTGGGAGCTCTTGATGTCTCCTGTTTCCCTCACAGTTCCTTGAAGATCTGCCTGAGATGACACTGAAAGCAAGGGCTACACGACCCACATAAACTCAAGTTTCTCCACTTTGTGCAAATTTCCTTAACCTTTCTGTTTCTCACTCAATATCTGCAAATACCTGCTCTAGGCCATTATATGGATTGGTTTCATTATTTGTAATACATATGTATGCACGTGACTGCTTGCTACCTGTCCTTCACAGTGCCTGGAATTATAATCCCCCTCTACACACAAGGAGGCATTGTCTCCTCAGACAAGGACCCTGTTGAAGTCTTGCCAGTGGTCTCTGCTTCCCCTGGGGTGGCCCACCAAAGCAGGCAGGATTCCTAGCCAACAGCTCACCTTGGACTCTTTAAGAAATGGATTTTCTCCTAAAATCAAGAGACATTCAAGGACTGAGACAAACTAATCAAACTCATGGGCACCAGAATGTAAGAGATGCTTTGTGCAGATTTCTCACTTTCTATCGAGGAACAGAACCTCTAGCCTGTTATCCTCATGGAGACCGCCTGCCTGTCCTTCTCCCATGGGAACATCCAGTAGGAAATGCACCCAGCCTCAGGGAGCCCAGAACTGTAGAAAAGGACCCTGGGGATCCACAGCTCAGTGTCTTCCTGAGACAGCACATCTCTAAGCAAGAAGGATAACCTCTGTTGACCCTGCAGGCAGCCAATCCTGGTGGAGAAACAGCCCGTGAAACCAATGCTTATTGCTTTTCTAACATCCTTTTCTGTCACCAGCAGTGCTGTCCTCTGGGTGGCTATGGATTTCAGATTTATTTTACTTTCCCAGACAAGAGATTTCTCTAATTTCATTTTAAATGATTAATAACTAACAAATGAGTAATATTCACATACAACTTCCCTATTCACAAAAATGCCTTCACAGACCTTATTGTATTTACTATCCTACCACTCCACGAGCAGAGAAGCATAAGTCCAGAACTAGGAGGAAACAGAAATCCAGGTCAAAGCCATGAGCTCAGGAAGAATAGAACGAGGATTCAAACCCAATGCTTTAGATGTTTAATATGGTGTTCTCTCCAGTAATTATATATATAAAAGACTTCTTTGTTTTCATAGTGCTTTGCCTAGTTTCCAAACAACCTTGAGAATTAGCATCATGTCCTCCAAAGCGAGGAGGTTTCTTGAAGCAGGGCTCTGTCTGTTCATTGTTCTCTGGTCCTGAAAATAAGAGTGCTTTAATCAATATTATATAGATGAAAGGTACAAGAATGAAAGGTACAGGAAGATTAAATTTCTTGTCCCAGATTACACAGCTAATGGTGCTAAAACTAGACAAGGAGCCCTGGCTTCTCAATCTAAAATGATCATATCCCAATCACCATTGTGTTGTATAAACTGACTACTGACTATTTTCTCCATTATTGGAAATAGCACTCACCTTTACAAATTCCCTCAAGGGAAGGAAGTCAGGAGATGAAAACTAATATGTTTGCTTATGGAGTTTTCTGGTCATTCCTGAATCATTCCAAAAGTAGATAATGTCCTTTTTGTACCAAAAATATAATTCATATCTTAGAGAAACAATATAATCTGCCCAAGGTCACATGGAGGAACACACATCAGTCAGGATGCCTGATTGGAAATATATTCATTGCAGCTACGAAGATGGAGAGAGAGATTTATAAGGACTTATACCAGAGCTAGTCTATGGGTGACCTTGATAGGAAAATGATGAACTGATTGGGTCACTGGACTAGCCCCAGGTAAGCAACTAGAGAAGTAAGACTAATGACAAATGATGGAAGGGCCGATACATAGCAAAGCTACAAGGTGCCCTGATAATTCAAGAAAAGGCAAAGACGTGATTAGAGAAGGCATTGCTGATATTATGGGATTCTAGGTCATCTCTCTGGAATTGTAAAAACATCAGCTTCTACCACTTACTACACAAAATGGAGATTATAAGATTCCACCTCACAGGGTAGTGCATAGAGCACTGAGCTGGAACCTGGCACTTCATAAGCACTTAATAAATGCTGTCTAATAATAGGGCCAGCCAATAGTATGGTGGTTAAGGCAGCTGGATCCTACAGAGTTAACTGCATGGTTCAAGTCCCGGACCCAGTGTCCTGAGAAACATGCCAGGCAAGTATGCATGCATGCCCAAAATCCAGAAGGAAACAAGAAATGGAGAAGGGATTGTCGTGTGACCATCCTCCATAGGGGGTGTTTCCTCCCTATCTTTTTCTCTCTTTCTATCTCTCTCCAGAAAGCACATGTACCCTCTGGCAAAATTTTAAATAATAATAATAACCGCAGTAGTAGTTGGGCTAGGCCCTGTAGCTTAGTGGTTAAAGGAGCCAGATTTTACACCATCTACTACTGTTGGAATCTCAGCCCCAGAAGCTTGAAAAACACTGAAGGTGCATATGTCCCAAATCCTAACAGGACGGCGAAATGGAGGAGAAGGAATTGTGGCATGATTATGCCTGTTAGGGAGTGCTGTCTCCCTCTTCCTCTTTCTGTATCTCTGTTTTTACCTCTGAGGAATGCATACATCCTCTGGCAAAATAAAACAAACAAACAAACAAACAAAAAAAACCAGCGTAATAGCAACATCACAGCGTCCAAGGTTCAGAGTTGTGATCTTTCTTGCCTGTTTCAAAAACAAACTCAAGAGTCTTTTCTTAGATGAATCCCTCTCTAACCACCTCCTCCATGTACACACACCTGTGTTGGTACTAGGCTCCCTTTGACAGCTGCGTACCTGTGGAGGACCCTCTGTTTCCCCTCAAGGCCTTCCTTCCTGGCAGAGCGCACCTCTCTGGCATCTCTCCATCCTCTGTGCCAGAGCAAGGCCTGGCACACTATAGGTACTCAATAAAAGGCTGGCAAATATGCTGGGGATTCCAAGATGAGTAAGAAATTTTCATTTTAAGGAGCTCACATTGTACATTTTAGATTAACAACCAGCACTTTATTGTATAAATATTCATATGCTATGCTGGGTGTTCAAACTCTGTTTTCTTGCTCGAGAAAGAGTCCTTGTCTAGTGTGTGGGGGTATGGGACAGGCAAACAAATAATCCACTAGATACTTCATATTGCAGAGCCTCGGATCCTGCAGGTACGCCCATCTCCTGACTGACAGAAGAATTCAAGTTGACCAAAACATTCAGGTCATCAGGACAGAAAATATTTTACCTATTTCCTGAGGTTACCATCCATCCACACAAAGAGAGCAGACATGTTACTAACTATGGTCATGCTAAGTCTTAATCTGGGACAAGAAAAGGCCAAGAAAAGAGGAAATAACCAGGTCTCCAGGGGACCAACGTTGGACAGCAATGACACAGGCCCACGTTAAGATGTGAGAACACAGGCATGTCAGGAATTAAGCTGAGATCCTTGAACAAGAGAAGGGCAATCCCTAGGTAGGTGCCTGGAGGAGATGGACTAGTAGTACCTATTACTCTACAGAGTTAACTGCATGGTTCAAGTCCCGGACCCAGTGTCCTGAGAAACATGCCAGGCAAGTATGCATGCATGCCCAAAATCCAGAAGGAAACAAGAAATGGAGAAGGGATTGTCGTGTGACCATCCTCCATAGGGGGTGTTTCCTCCCTATCTTTTTCTCTCTTTCTATCTCTCTCCAGAAAGCACATGTACCCTCTGGCAAAATTTTAAATAATAATAATAACCGCAGTAGTAGTTGGGCTAGGCCCTGTAGCTTAGTGGTTAAAGGAGCCAGATTTTACACCATCTACTACTGTTGGAATCTCAGCCCCAGAAGCTTGAAAAACACTGAAGGTGCATATGTCCCAAATCCTAACAGGACGGCGAAATGGAGGAGAAGGAATTGTGGCATGATTATGCCTGTTAGGGAGTGCTGTCTCCCTCTTCCTCTTTCTGTATCTCTGTTTTTACCTCTGAGGAATGCATACATCCTCTGGCAAAATAAAACAAACAAACAAACAAACAAAAAAAACCAGCGTAATAGCAACATCACAGCGTCCAAGGTTCAGAGTTGTGATCTTTCTTGCCTGTTTCAAAAACAAACTCAAGAGTCTTTTCTTAGATGAATCCCTCTCTAACCACCTCCTCCATGTACACACACCTGTGTTGGTACTAGGCTCCCTTTGACAGCTGCGTACCTGTGGAGGACCCTCTGTTTCCCCTCAAGGCCTTCCTTCCTGGCAGAGCGCACCTCTCTGGCATCTCTCCATCCTCTGTGCCAGAGCAAGGCCTGGCACACTATAGGTACTCAATAAAAGGCTGGCAAATATGCTGGGGATTCCAAGATGAGTAAGAAATTTTCATTTTAAGGAGCTCACATTGTACATTTTAGATTAACAACCAGCACTTTATTGTATAAATATTCATATGCTATGCTGGGTGTTCAAACTCTGTTTTCTTGCTCGAGAAAGAGTCCTTGTCTAGTGTGTGGGGGTATGGGACAGGCAAACAAATAATCCACTAGATACTTCATATTGCAGAGCCTCGGATCCTGCAGGTACGCCCATCTCCTGACTGACAGAAGAATTCAAGTTGACCAAAACATTCAGGTCATCAGGACAGAAAATATTTTACCTATTTCCTGAGGTTACCATCCATCCACACAAAGAGAGCAGACATGTTACTAACTATGGTCATGCTAAGTCTTAATCTGGGACAAGAAAAGGCCAAGAAAAGAGGAAATAACCAGGTCTCCAGGGGACCAACGTTGGACAGCAATGACACAGGCCCACGTTAAGATGTGAGAACACAGGCATGTCAGGAATTAAGCTGAGATCCTTGAACAAGAGAAGGGCAATCCCTAGGTAGGTGCCTGGAGGAGATGGACTAGTAGTACCTATTACTCAGAATACTGAGACCATGGGACCAGCAGTTGGCATAATGGCTGTGTCACTGGACTCCCATGTAGTCGACCGCGGTTCGAGTCCCAGACCCAGTGGCTTAAACTCATGCCGGGCGCATATGCGTGCGTGCCCAAGATCCCAAGAGGAGAATGGAGAAGGGATTGCGGCATGGCCATCCCCCCTAGGGGGTGATTTCTCACTTTCTGTCTCTCTGTCTCTGTCTGTCTGACGAGCACATGCCCCCTATAGCAAAAATACTCTCCAAAAACAAGAAAAAAAAAAAAAAAAAAAGAAATGAGAGTAGAAATATCACAGACATGATTTTGGCCCCTGTGTCTTCAGCAGGGCCAACTTGGCACCTCCAGCCACCTGTTACCAGCAAGCCGATGTGGGGCAGAGCATCATAAATGAGGGAAGGTCTAAGCAGGTAGTTTTCTAGTCCCTTCCATTGCTAATAATAAGAGGTAAATGAAACTGGGTGAGTCACAAAAATAGAGTGTAATTCAGCTCACAGTTTACAAGTTCAAGGTCCAGGGGGCACATCTTGTGGAGGTCTTGCAGAGTCCCAAGGCAGCACATCACAGGACAGAGAGCAGAGCATCCATGTCCATGAGTGGTCTCACTCCTGCTCCTTATAAACCCACCAAGAGTCACTCGTGGGACTTAATGACCCACCTTAATGACCTTAATGCTAATCTTTTCCCCAAGTTTCCATCTTTCAACACCATCGCTAGTTATATTTTTACACTTTTAATTATGTCACAACCAAATCTGAACACAGGAATTTGAGAGGTGCATATAAATTTCTGTTTGCATATGAAGTTCTCCAGCAATGGAGAACTCCAGGGTGGTTTTAGTAATAAGCAGTTTGCTGATGGCAAAGGCTGGCAGTAGAATAAGTGGGAGGTGTGTCTTAAGAAAGGAGGGGACAGCATACTGTGAAGCAGCACAGAGGCACCATGACACCAAGGAAGGTGGGGGCCAAGACAGAGCAGGAGACTCAATGGAGGGGACAATTAAAATGACAGGAGAAGCAGAAAAGGAGAGGAGAGCCTTATTTAGTAAAGAGAATGAGGCCATCGGAGGCCCAGGGATGTTCATATACTTGGGCCATGAGGGACGCAGAGAGCAGCCTCAACTGTGTACACGAGTCAAACCAAGAGAGACCAAAGCCAGGCTGTGCTGGTCCCGTGCATTCTCTCCATATTGGGCTGTGTCCTGTCAGCACTTATCACAAGAAAATGTTGAGTTCACTTTCCATCGTGGCTACTCATCTTTTCTCTCTTTCCCAAGACTGGAAGTTCATGGGACCAGGCAGTGGTGC